CTCTCTCTCTCTCTCTCTCTCTGATGCCAACAGTCCGTCGTCGCGCATCAGCACACGAAGCCGTCACCCCGCTTGGTCCTCCTGTGCCCGTCACGTTCGCTCTGCGCCCACAGTCCGGCGTGGCCCGTGTCAACCCCGCGCATTCGGCACCAGCTCGTCGGGTCGCCCGGCTCCTGCTTCACTCACCTCTTACTTTGCTCGTGTGCCGACCCTCTCGATCGCGCAACCCCGAGCTTCCAGTAACTGTTAAGAGAGCAAGTTAATCGCGCAGCCGGAATTTATAGCGTGCATGCATGCGCGAAGAACACGGAATTACAAGGACGTAGATAGATGAAAGAAAGGGAGTGCTTACGTTTGCGTGGTCGGGCCGCGGCGTGGGGGACGCACCCAACTCCACGCATCGATCCGAACATGCAAACGCGGCTACCCAGATAGGGAGGGGAGAGAGGAAGAAACGAGGCGGGAAGAATAAGGAGCACGAAACAGAAAGATACAGTTACAAAAGTGTGTGCCCAAAATTACAGTTGCAAAAGGATTATGGCGTCAATCAATCAAGGTCCTGGCGCAACAGCAAGGAAGAGCGCGCGAACACGCAAAGCAGCGTCTAAGAAAAACAAAAATTCCTAAATTCCTAAATTCCTAGCTAGCCTGCCAATATTATGAAAAGGTCCGAAAAGAAAATCAAAAGTCCGAAGGCCATATGGCTTCGACCAAGATTCGAAAAGAAAATTCAAAAAGGAAATTCAAAAAGAGACACCGAAATTCCCGCGCGATGTCTACGCGCCCAAAAGTCCGACAAACAAAATTAAAAGAAGGGAAACGAAAGAAAATAAGCGATGTCAACGTTTATTAATCGCACACTCGGCGCGCACTCCGCATCCATCCGACCAAGTTTCACCCCCTTTTCCCCGTGTATTCCCAAATTGTCCCCAACTGTCATCAGGGGCTCGTGCGAAAACGAAGAAACAATGAAGAAACCAAGGACACACATGCAATTTTTCCATGAAACCGTCCAGTCGACGTAGGACCCCGCTTAGCACTTCGCGCCGAAAGTCGCGCATCACAGAAGCTAGTTCGTCACATATGTGACGCCCTGGGGGTTCCAAAGATAAGCAAGCTCTTGCTTGCTATCTGACGTGTCGCTCATCTGTGATTGATTTGCCGTGGATGGTTGATCTTTCTCTGCCGCATACCGTGCGAACGAGTGTGGAAGTCATGTTGCGCGGCAGTCGTGTCCTGGTTGTCGTCACTCGTGGGGAAGAGGGAAAGGAAGACGATAGGCAGGCGGAGGTGTTGATGGGGGATGAGTCGGGATAGGCGGGAAGAAGCGTTTCAGCTCATCGTCCGTTTCCAGAAGGCTCCGATGATGGACGATTCTATGGAAGCGGGGAAATCGGCGGCCAGTAGTGGGGAGAGAAGCGAGGTAGTCGGGATAGAGAGTGGTGAAGGTTCTAAGAAGCGCCGCGCGAAAGCGATCGCGGTCGGCGCATGCGGGGATTAACCCCGTGATGAGGCAATAAACCTCTACGGCGTTGATACGATGCCATCCAACGCTGAAAAGAAGTACATGGAGAGAGAACTCAGGGGAAGCACGCCGGGAGAATGAGTGGGGATGGACTGTGACAGAGAGACAGATG